GAAGAAACTCGCACAGATACAGACAGACATCATCTTTCTATCCAAGTGCAAGAAAATGGACATCGTACCCAAAGGACTGAAAGTGAACAATCCACTAAGATCAACATACTTCACTGACTACAGTGAAAGACTCTGCCTCACACTATCCAAGAAATTAAGAAACCACCTGATAAGTATTTTATACAAGAAACAGAAAACCATCAAGAATGACATTTCTAACTTAGATCGTCTCATCTCAAGACAAACATCCACACCGACTGACACCTTGCAAGACTTTTGTTCCACCAGACAAGAAATCTACTATACACACTTCTGTTCCCTGCAACAGAGAAAAGACAATAAATTTTCTAACCTGCTCCATACCACTGGCTACAACAGCAACTGCCTCAACCCACCGGATAATATTGTTAACCTCTCCAGCTACAAACTCAATCCAGCAGAAGAGTCTGTCTTGTCCCGGGGTCTCTCTTTCTGCCCCACGTCCCCCACAAACTGGATACAATTTTGTGGTGACCTTGAGGCTTTTTTTCGCCGCCTCCGTCTCCGAGAATATTTCCAAACCACCACTGAACATCAATCTGACCTACCAGATCCCCCCTACCAACACCAAAGGAAAAATAATTCTATATGGACTCCCCCTGACGGTCGGAATTACAATCTGGATTTCTATATACACAGCTTCCGCAACAACGCACAGACTGACATTATTCGCAAACGACAACAAGCGACACACAATCTTAGCCGCGCTGAACACCATGCCATCCAGAGTCTCAAAAACAACCTGGACATTGTAATCAAACCAGCTGACAAAGGGGGTGCTGTGGTCATTATGAATAAGGCCGACTATAACCAGGAGGCAACCAGACAACTCTCGAACACCACATTTTACAAACCTCTCCCCTCTGATCCCACCTTGGACTACCAAAAGAAACTACACTGTCTCCTTAAAAGCCTCCCCACAGCTACTCGGGAACAAATCCTCACAGAATCACCTTCTGACCCCCGACCAGGATTGTTCTATCTACTTCCCAAGATCCATAAACCTGGGCACCCCGGACGTCCCATCATCTCTGGTATTGGCACGCTCACTACTGGTCTATCCAGCTATGTAGACACTCTTCTCAAACCCTTCGTAACCAATACCCCCAGCTATCTCCGAGACACTACTGACTTCCTAAGGAAACTACAAAACATCGATAACCTCCCCAATAATACCATCCTTGCCACCATGGATGTAGAAGCTCTATATACCAACATCCCACATGAAGACGGATTACAAGCAATTAGAAACACTATCCCAGAGGACACTACTGCCAACCTGATAGCAGACCTATGTAACTTTGTTCTCACCCACAATTATTTCCGGTTTGAGAACAACTTATACCTCCAGATCAGCGGCACAGCCATGGGTACACGCATGGCCCCACAGTATGCTAACATCTTTATGGCTGACCTAGAACAACGTTTCCTCAACTCCCGTCCCCTTTCACCCCTCCTCTACCTACGGTACATCGATGACATCTTTATGATCTGGACACATGGCCAAGAAACACTGGAGATATTCCACAGAGATTTCAACAACCTACACCCCACCATCAACCTCAGCCTGGACCATTCTACACGAGAGATCCACTTCCTGGACACCACCGTACAAATCAACAATGGAAAATTAGACACCACTCTCTACAGAAAACCCACTGACTCATACAGTTACCTACATGCATCCAGCTCCCATCCAGAACACACCACACGATCCATCGTCTATAGCCAAGCCCTTCGATACAACCGCATCTGCTCTAACCCCACTGACAGAGACCAGAAGCTTCAGGATCTCTACCAAGCATTTATAAATCTCAACTACCCACCCGGAGAAATAAAAAAGCAAATTGAAAGAGCCAGACGAATACCTAGAAACCATCTACTTCAAGACAGACCCAAGAAAACCAACAATAGAACACCACTTGTCATCACCTACAACCCCCAACTTAAACCTGTCCAACACATTATCAATAAACTACAGCCTATATTGGAACAGGATACCATACTCAAAGAGGCTCTGGGAGACAGACCCATAGTCTCCTATAGACAACCACCTAACCTCAAGATGATTCTTACCAACCACCACAGGACATACCACACTAATACCAACCCTGGTACCTTCCCTTGCAACAAACCCCGTTGCCAGCTTTGTCCACATATTCATTCTGCTGATACCATTATTGGACCTAACCAAGTGAGTTATAAGATCAAGAACACATATTCCTGCGCATCCAGAAATATAATCTATGCTATCATGTGCCGAAAGTGTCCGTCTGCTATGTACATTGGACAAACATCTCAGACACTTCGCCAAAGGATTAATGCCCACAAAACAGATATTAGACAAGATCACAAAGAGAAAACAGTTTCTTGCCACTTTAACCAGAAAGGACACTCTCTAAATGACTTAGCCACCTGCATTCTGCTACAAAGACCTTTTACATCTGCACTTGAAAGGGAATCCTCTGAACTGTCATTCATGTTAAAATTCGACACTTACGAACAAGGACTTAACAAGAATTTGAACTTTCTCACCCATTACCAAGACAGTTTCCCCAATTATCACCTGTAATACCATTAACTCACAAACATCCCACTCTCCCTACCTTTAATATCAGCAATTCACAGACACTTACCTTCCTTCCTCCCCCTTCCCACCCCCCCGCATCCTCCTTCTGTTCTGCAATGTGATTTGTCCTTTTCATATTTGTTCATTTTTTTAATTGTATCCTTTGGTATATATGGTTGTGACTACTTTCTTCCACTATTTGATCTGAGGAAGTGGGTCTGGCCCACGAAAGCTCATCATCTAATAAACCACCTTGTTAGTCTTTAAAGTGCCACATTGTCCTGTATTTTTGAACACACGTGTCCTTTATTTTGTACATCAGGAAGGGGGGTTAGGAAGGGCTAAATGGAAGGAGGTGAGGGAGGAATGGGGTATGAGCCCCCGATGGGGAGGACTGGGGTGGCTCTGCGGGCTCCTCGGGATGGAAGCTCTCCTGCAGCCCTCCGATTGACCCCCCTCCCCGGATGGCAGCCTGCGGCAAGTGCCGCCGGGCTGATGGCCGAGTGCTGTGATGTGCCGAGCGTGGGCACTCAGGGCACTCCAAGACAGGACTGCTTTGCAAGCGGGGAACCCCTGAGAACTGTCTGTCCGGGGTGGGAGTCGGGTCCCTTTAAGCACAGCCCTCGGCTAGCCTGAGACAGCAGCTCCACGCTCTAAGTCCTATTCTGATGCCCTGCCGGCACTGCTTCCCGCCAGCCTTAACCTCGGTTCAGGGTCACTCAGTGTGGACATGCTAGTTCGAATTAGCAAAACTCTAATTCGAACTCGTTTTTAGGTCTAGATGCGCTAATTCAAATTAGCTTAGTTCGAATTAACTAATTCAAATTAAGTTAGTTCGAATTAGTGCTGTAGTGTAGACATACCCTAACAGGGTGGGTGGCCACTGCTCAGAACGTAGGTGTAGGCGAGTTGGATTTAGTGCAGCTTACACAGATCTGGCTGTAGTGGAGGTGCACAAGGCAGCCAGCTCCACTCCTGGTGTAACTCCACTCACACCAGTCAGTCACTGGGTGCCTCTGGCCCTCAACACCCAAAGCAAAGACCAGCAAGAGGTGTGAGACCATTCAGAGTACCCCCCAGTGTTGTGCTTAAAAGAAGCACCCAGGATCTTTTTCACACATGCCGCATTTATTGAGCAGACATAGATCAATCAATACTTCATCATATGCATATGATACACTACACTCAGAGGGGAAGCCGTGTTAGTCTAAATCTGAAAAAGTGGCGAGGAATCCTGTGGCACCTCAGGGTATGTCTACACTAGCCACCCTAGTTCCAGGGAGGTTTAACAGTAGTTTGAATTAGGAGCTTTAATTTGAACTACTTAGTCCGTGCCATGTGTAGCCACGGGCAGGTAGTCCGGACTATGGGGCATTTAAAAATGGTGGCACCCAGGCTTCATTTGCAAGTTCGAATGCCACAGGACTCTTCGCCGCTACTACACTCATGCACTCTCTCTCTCTCTCTCTCTCCCTCTCACACACACACACGCACACACAAGCACACTCCGTTGTGTTGTTACCAGTAGTTGCTCCCCCTAACTGCACTGGCCAAGTGAATTAGTTGGCAGAGGGGTGGAGCCAGGCTTCTGCTGATCCAGGTCGATGCTTCCATGTTGATAACACAAAAAACCCGGGGTCCCTCTGCAAGATATCTCCTATTTATCCCTTTCATGCAGCCAGTTAATCATCACCTACATATGCAGTGAGATACATGTGATGCAGTTTTTAATTCTGCTTCAAAGAGGGTCCTTCTGGCACTTGCTGCTTGACTCCCAAGGCCAATCTTCTTTTCAGTGAGCTCACTTCACAAGTCTTGTTGTCTTTGGATCTGGCTCCCAGCCCTTTCCACCCTGGCAGCTGTTCACCTCTCAAGCGTCTCCATCCACACCTCATTCATTTCAACAGGACAATCAATGAAAAGGAGAGTTCTATTCTACTCCTAAAAAAAGACAATTTCCTATTCCTAAGGCCTATAACATAAAGGGCTTATTACAACGTTCTATGGTCTATAAGAAGCAAAGATCTATACAACATCTATCTGGACTTACAAAGTTTCTCTTAATAAAAAAAAAACAACAACAAATGGTCTGGTAGCACCTTATAGTCTACCATTTGTTGTTTTTTTCTGTAACAGACTAACTTGGCTACCCCCTGAAGTTCTTAATATAAACTTATATGAGATTGACAAACGGTTATATGGAAATGTTACTGAGATTCATCCATAAATGAGAATGATACATAGTTATATGCAGGGATCGACAAATAATACAATCTACTCGCCTATGGTTTTGTTAAAGGAAAATATGACAAAGATTCCATACATACTTTAATTTTGAATGAAAAAGTTCCTTGCTAAATCTATTCAAGCAGTACTCATTGCAAACTTTCTTTCATATCCCTTTAACAGCATAATTTCTTGTAAATTCAAGATATTTATCATTAAGGCCACTCAACATTAAAATTAGTATATGTTTGGCTGCATCGGTCTTGTCTATATTTTCCCAACTTCTTGGGATTGCACCCTTCCCTTCAAATTTTCCATTATGAGCTTTTTCTAAGTCAGATCTGAAATGACTGACAAACCATTTCCAATAAGACATTTGTGAGGTATCTGGTTTGATGTTCCAGTTTGCAAAGTCAGGTCCTATATCTCGATACCTTTTGAATTGAATTGTTTTTTCACCAAGGACTATTTTGGAGTCACTTCCTGCAAGGCTGGAGCAGATGTCCGTGACTAGATGATTTGTTCCTTCCCATTGAATGCCAGTCATGGCCTGAGGATGATGGAAATCAGTGCTGTGGTCTCCATCGTGACCAGGAATTGTGTTTGTGCAGACAGCCTTGCAAAAGGGACACTGCTTCAAACACCCACGGAACTGCTCAAATAGGATTTCATGAGGTTTTGAGGGAAATGGGTCCAAATCAGTCTCAGAGAATGTTTGTTTCAGCTGTTCTAAGACAGGAATCAGTGACTCACTCACCACTTCTTTCAGAAATTGTATGTCTGTTATCTCTTGATGTTCGATGCTTTGCAGACTGCTTCTGGGAAGGTACAAATCATCTCCAAGCCTGGTACAAAATTCATCCAACCACAAAGCTACATTGCCATGTTTGTCTTTGACAACATTAGTTGATTCATGAACTGCTGAAAGAACGAGAGCTTGGAAAGAATCAAGATTTGAATTTAAGAATTTTTTCAATTTTGGATTTTTTTTATCTAAGCAATAGCTATCAACAGCTCGTCTGATAAAACCTTCCATACAATAACCTGGGTTATAGATATACTCTTGGTATCTTTCAAAATCTTCCTGAACTAAAAGATCATGTAGTATGAATGTTTCCAATTTCCTTCGATTGCCATTGAAGGCTTCATGGTTCGATTTCATCTCATTTGCGATGTCAATGGCAGTCTTGTCATAGACTGCGTCACGGATAGCAAATTTCAGATTGCTGCATAAAATATCTGCAAAAGTTGCAGTGGATGTTGCTCCTTGGCAGGCAATTTTGAAAGAGCTAAAGAATTCCTCTCTCTTACTTTCAAGATATCCGGCTGGATTATTTGACTCCTGGAATGCTTTGAGTGTTTCGCTAAACTTTCTTGAGGCCATTTGGCAAAAATATAGAGATATATCCACTTTGTATGAAGGTGTTAATGTAGAATTTACTTTCTTTGAATCAGATTCTATCTTCTTGCTTATTAAGTCCACTATTTCATGAAAGTAACTGGAGCTGTAATTCATTATCTCTCTTGCTTTGGTCTCAATGTGTTCACAGATATGCTCCTTTAGCGAGTCTTTCATTTTCAGAACATCACTTTTATCAGTCTTCTTCAGTAGATTCCATGACTTCATCCCATGCTCAGAAAAGTCCAGAGGAAAATCAGTCCATTCAGAGGATCTTGCAATCCTGTTATGTATATCATGTTCTGATTTAAAATGACCCAGAAGGAAAGTTTCCATGTCAAGATGGATATTGGGCTCATCCACACGATGGGCAGCAGAGGACACGTCAGTAATCCAGTCGTTCCACACAAGTATAAACTGAGTTCTAAGATCACTTTCACTCAATTCCTTATCTCTGAAATCTCGGGCCAACTCTTTGCTTTTTCTAAGCAACTCATCTTTATAGGTGGATTTCTTTTGTTCAAAACTGTTTTGACGATTCTTCAGATCAATCTGTTCTTGACCCCTTCTACAGATGCTGTCAATCAGATCTTGTCTGAAAAAGTTCATTCTACTTTTAATATTTGCTTTCCACTGAATCAGTATGTCACTGTACTTGTCCAAGCTAAAATAACTTTCTAGATCCTTTTCAGTAGCATCATATTTTTCTTGAACTCTTTTCTCAATATCTGCTCTATCTATGTCAGAGATTTTTCCATTCTGAATTTGGATGTTCAGCTTGTTCTGCAGACCAAGCATGAAACGTCTCAGTTCCCAGGTCCATTTGCTGTAGTTGTTTTCCAGTCTGGTGTACACTTCAATCTCCAGAGTATTTTTAAAACTGAATACAAAGTTCTCATTTAACAAAGCCGCCCACAGGTCCTGAGTACGCTTTTTTAAGTCTGACAGACTTAGAAATCCATGTTCAGATTTTTCCATGGCAGTCACAAGAATCTTTCTCTTTAGTCTCTGCACACTTTGGCTGTAGCTGGGGTTGGGAGGTGCCATGGGTGGGTCCCCTTCCCAGAGGTGAGGAAAGTAATGGATGTGGGTGTTCACATCAAATCGGATAACGTCACTAAAGCAGGTTACATCACAGCACTCTTGCTGGGCTGCAATAACGGCCATTTCATCTAACTTTTCCTGAAGGCATCTTTAACGTCACTAAAGCAGGTTACATCACAGGATTCTTGCTGGGCTGCAATAATGGCCATTTCATCTAACTTCTCCTGAAGGCATCTTCGTCCTCCCATATTCTGTTCTTTTGCCGTTATGTCGCCAACATTCTGGTGCACGAACAAGCAGCTTGGGGAGAGCTTGACTTGCTTCATCCTCAGAAACGCCTGGACAGCGATCTGCAGGATATCTTGCATTTCTGAAGGGTTCTCGCCAAAGATATTGATCATCGTTGTGTTGCCCAGACCAATGACAAAAGTGGCTAGCTCATTGTCATGACTGAGTGCTGATCTGTTTTCTAGCTCTATGGCCCGAAGTCCTTCAGTGTCGATAACCACCACAAAGTCAAAGTTCAGCTCTTCTCTGAGCTCATCATCCACCTTAACTAGCTGCATGAAGGCTCCCCTGGTGCACCTCCCTGCACTGACTTTAAACTGGAGGCCAAACATGGCGTTCAGGAGGGTTGATTTCCCAGTGCTCTGGATGCCAAGCACAGAAAGAACAAACACCTTTTTGTCTCCCAGCTTCTCAATTAACTTGTCAAAGATGGCTCCGATCCATTTCAATGGCACATAAGAAGTGTCTCCATCCAGGAGCTCGATAGGATACCCTGAAACCATCAAATCAGCCACAATCTGCGGCAGTTTAAGATGGCATTCAGCCTGCCCAAGTAGTACATCCAGAGCTTCATAAATCTGACCCACCTCTCTCAAAAGATGCTCAAGACCAAAAGTAGATTCATTTATTTTACGTGATAATTCTTCTAATTGTTTTTGCAAGTCATTATTTTTTCTTCTTTGGTCTTGTGACCACAACTCATGGTATTTTTGGTGAAGCTCTGGAAGATGATCAGAAGACAGATCAGCTATAAATACTTGCAGCCACTGTAAAAAGTAAATTTTAGTTTTGTGGGAAGATAAATTCAGAGTTGAAAGCACTGACCTCATTAGTTCCTTCAGGGGAAATGCTTTCTGTAACTGATCCTTTCGTATTTTATGCTTTTCTGATTTTATTTGGCTTAGCTGCTGTTCTATGCTCATGTTCTCATTGTCCTGCAAATGGGCATGCTTTTTATCCGTCTTACACCACTCATGCCACAATTTTCCTTGGAGAGGTAATAATTCCTCCTTAACATCTAAAATACCTTTCTGTTTCAGATAACCATCCTTGCATTCTTTTTTGTCTTTGTCAATGTGGAATCCATGCTCTCGTGCAATGTTTGCACATTTACCAAGGCTACAAGAAATATTCGAAATTTCCATGGCACTTTTAATTGCAGTGGTCAGTGCATCCATTAATCGTGCCTCATTCTGGTTCTTTACAGCTATTTTTACTCGATTTCTAGTCTTGTTAACTGGTGTTTGCTCTTTGTCAGTACAGAGAAAGATGAGAGGTTTGGGAGATTTTACGAGGTCTTTTAAAACCTTCTTGCCCTTTTCATTCTGATCAACCTCTGACAAGAGGACCACGCTGACTGACGCTATTTCCCGTAAAAATTTGACTTGTCGCTCATGTTCTCTTGCATCTCCATGAAGATTGGTGAACGCGATGCAGTTCTCAAAACTGTCATCATCCTTTCCGCCAGGACAGTACCAGGTGATTTCTACAACACCTTCCATCAAGAGGCAGTTTTTAATACTGCCTCTACAATGACGATGGAAAAAAATATTATGTTTTTGCTTACTCAGCAGTGTATTTAAAAGCTGAGATTTAGAAAAAGAAGACGCACCAAATCTTATGAAGGACACCAGTGGTATATCTGCCTGATATATCAATTTATCTTCACATTTCCTAACCCCAGCCTTATTTTGTGAATCCTGACGACTCTGCCATTTCTTGTTAACTTGGCAAAAGGACCAAAAAGGAAGTTCTATTTGTGGAGAATGTGGATCTGGCACCAAAAGTGGGAGAGCAAATTGACATAAAGCGAGCTTTGTTGAAATATATTGCCTCATGAAATCATCTGCACAGAGAAAAATTGCCATCTGGACATCCATAGGGTGCACCTGATCCTCATTACTTTCAGCAAATTCGTTAGATTCATCATTATCATTAAACAATTCATCTAGATCATCTGAGGGTTCGTTCACATCATCACTGGTGTTTGTTGTCTTGGCCATGTCTTGTTCTATTTTACTGTCATTCTTGCATATGAAACTTCTTGCCCGATAGTCCAGCATCAACAGCTTATCCAAAAAGTAAAATGACAGCTCACTTTCATTGCTGGGGTGGTTGTCATTTAAAGATGTTTTGCGAATTTTCTGGAAATCTGCCATCCCCATTTTATTTGGATAGTAACTTTCAAGGTTAAGTCGCCTGATTAATTTTTGAAATCCTGCAGTTTGAGGAAATTCATTTGTCTTAGTTCCTGTGGGCTGCACTTCTTCGCATGTTGTCACTGCTGAATTTACCAGCTTACTTTCTTGAAACACATTTTCTAATTCTTTTTTAATATATTCCTTCTGCTGATCATCATTTGTGGCTTTAAATGTTCCATTCACAAGGGATTTCAAATCTCTTTCCAATGCTTTCCAATCAGTGAGCACCCCGTGCTTTGTAAGGACAAAAGTAACTTCCTCTGACAGCGAGTTGCCCATGTGAGATTTAATAAAATTCAAACGTTTCCTCTTCTCTTTGGGGGCCATCACTTGATTTTTAGTTGCTACTGTCAGACCTGTCAGCAGCATGAAAGCCTGAGCTCTGGAAACACCCTGATCCCTTAGGGTCAAATATGTCCCATATGCTGTTTGCATTTCTTTTAGCAGGAAGTTAATTTCTGAGCACTCGAGGAGATACTGAAAAGTGTGACTGTCCACACGGTAGCCTGCGCTGGCTACAATTGAGAGTAGTAACAATTCTATGTCGGTCTCGGCTCTCTGTCTTAGAGCCTGCAGTAATGAATAGATGGATAAGCTGAGAGTCAGAGTAGCTTTTCTCTTCGTTTCATGCTCTGCTGCTGGAGAAGTCAAAGAGACACTGGTAACATCCCTGATGTCACTTTCCATTTGCTGTAAAACTTGAGTGAAATCTGTAAGCTCAGAGCTGGGGCTGGAGCTCCGATCTGCTTGTTCTGCTGCTGACGGGAAAATCCATTGCATAACGAAAGAAGATTTGGGGAAATTCTGAACGGAATAGATGTCAGGATCCAGAAGGCAGTACAGCAAAGATCTGATGTACCTCTCATTTGGGACAGGTGACTCTCTGCACCGTGAAACTGTACGTTCCAGGAAATCTTGAAGCCCCTTGTCTGAGAGGCAAATGTCGATCCACATACTCGGGCTTCTTGTCTTTTCATTCAGCTTCTCTTTGAACTTGAGCAGCGTCACCAGCTGCCCTTCATCCCCTGTGACTTCCCAGGTCTTCATTTCCTCTAGGAAGGATCTGGCCTCATCCCATGCACTGACTGTTCCCGCCCCAGCCAATGGGCTGGCAGTTAGGGTTGTTAGGGCTTCATAGGCCCTTGTGAGGCTGCTGCCCATTTGATAAACGTCTTTAAAATCTTGTCTGTGATTGGCCAGGATTATGTCCCACACTGGAGTCAGCTGAGAGCCTCTGTCAATCACAGACCAGGTCTTGTTACTGGCCAGCAGCCCAGATTTCCATGCTGCGAGTGACTCCACTCCAGGGGGGCCGCCCGTCTTGGTCACACGCAGCTGAATCTCTGTTTGCTCCTGTTTTCTGTCTGTGCCCTGAAAGGAGGCTTTGGAACCTGAGTTGGATACAGTGACACCGGCTGCAATACCCCAGCCCAAGCCGCTGTAGCTGCCCCCGATGTAAGAGCGGAGCTCGTCAGATGCTTGTTTCTTCACCTCATCCAGCTGCTCTGCCCGGAATCCCTGCGACGCCGCTTTCCACCAGAATATCCCACCCAGGTGGAGGGGGCCCTGGTTCACGTGAGACCCGAATCGCTTGAAGAAATTCCCAGCCCGGCTCTTCAGCAGGGGGAGCGTGTCGGGCTCTGGGGTGAGACTCAAAAGCTGCTCGATCTCTTTTAACTCCTGCAGCGCGGCGCTGGACAGTCGGAGCCGGTCCTTGGGGAAGTAGCAGGAGGCCAGGGGGATGTAGCTGTACTTGGTGGTGCAGAGGTAGGTGCGCTCAGAGTGGGACCTGTGGGAGCTTTCGGACTCTGACGAGCTGCTGTAGTTGGTGCTGGTTTCTGCACTAAACCCCCCAAACCCACCCTTGACTGCGAGGCTCATGCTGAAGCCCAGCTTTTCCATGGTCCGTGTGAATGTGGACTCTGCTGTTGCTGATGAAAACTCCTTCATCTCAAACAAGGGCCCTTGCTGTGGGCCAAAGAGCTCCAACCCGTCTGGGAGCTCCAGGAGCTGCTCGCGCTTCTCCACCATCTCGGCAAGCTGGTTGGTTTTGTAAATGCCCTGCAGGGCCAGCCCCCCCGACGCCCGTCTCACAACTTCCCTGTCAGGGAGAGTCTCACTCTGGGACATCAACTCCTCGGAGAGATTTAATTGCTTGTGCACATTCTCCATCACCTTCATCAATGGCACCTCAGCCGGTGCCCAATACTCAGGGGCCACGTCCATCGCTCTCCGCAGCTCCTCCTCTTTCCTCCTTACAACCTCGTCCTGGCGGTTTCTGCCTTGCTCCTGCATCGCCTTGAGCTCCTGCAGCGCCGACTTCGCCTGCTCCTGTCTCTTCCTCAGCCCCTCCACGCGCTCCCCCTGCAGCTGCTGCATCGTGGCCTTCTTCTCAGCTATGTTAAGAAGGCTTCGGAGAGCCTGCTTTTCCCACTTGTGCTGAACTTCCCCTTCCAGCGTGAGGTAGTCTTCGTACGTTAGGTGTTCCAAAGCCTGTGCAGAGGTAACCCCCAATCTGTCTCGTAGTTTGGGCAGCCAATACTCCGTACTCAGTCCCACTCCAACGAGTCTCTGCCCCAGCTCTTCCATCCCGGGGTGTTTCTGTCCCGTGGGTCCCTAGCCTGGGTGGGCGTGGTTCTTCTCTGCAGACAAGGGTCTGAAAATGGAAAACATTTTTGTGTCACTTCATGAACATGTTTTCCAGCTCTCAGATCATTTCCTGCAGCTTCATGCACTGAAGTAGTCTGACAGTTTGCCAGCACTCACACTGGACAAATTACAATATCCGGATCCCCCCCAAACCAAGACACACTGCACTAATGTGTGTCTCTGTACACTCATACACCCACTAACTCTCCATACACTCATCCTGCAGGGCGAGAGGGGGACTGCCCCTTCTTCTTCAGGAGAGTCTGTGATCCTTAATGGTCTATTTTTTCTCTGTGCCTGTTCTTTTATTCTTTCCTTCTATACACATTAGTTTAGGTATAACATGGGCAGTTGGTGAAGTTTCCATTTGGGGAGGCAATAGCTTCCCAGGCCCTGACCCCTTCCCACTGTGTCAATCCTCTTTTCTCTGCGTATCCCGTGTCCCTGCTCTCTGAGGATTTGTCCCCTTCCAGCCAAATCCCTGCACCCAAGCAAATTATTTTTGAAAAAACCCTCCGCTTTATTGTTTTCTCAACAAAATGGAGCATATTTTGTGCCACATGCCAGACATACAGAAGATACCTAAGAACAGCACTACATTTGGGAAGAAGGAATGTCAGTCACAGGTTTATTAGATACCCTCATAACTGACATGCAGGCAGCTTGGAAATGCCCCAAACGCCTCCCATTGATCCTGGGGAACACAGAATGGCAAGCACCAGTTACAGCTAATTAAGAAATCTCTGTCCTTTCTTCACGCCATCAAATATGTTGTCAGGCCTCACCCTCCGCTGGCATTTGCCTGCCGACAGGAAGAAAGTGACTAGAATCTGACTGCAAAATTTGCCACCTCATTTTCACTTCTTGTGATGACGTGTTGGGGTTCCTCCAACTCCTGCACCCCAGTAGTGGCATGCACAGACTCCGCCAGCCAGTAGAATAGAGGGAGTTTATTGCTTCTCCAAGGATACAGCACAGCATAGATGTCATCTGGTTACAGGGCCAGGCCTAGGATGCCTCAGCCCCCCTTGAGATGGGGGAGACTGGGCCCCTAAATCCCAGCCCCCCCCTTGCGTAGGCTGCTTCCTCCATGATTCCAGACAGAAACTGCCTCTCTTTCAGCCCTGCCCCTCAGACAGGGGTTGGATCCCGC